CCCCAGGCCTCGTCCAACCCCTTGTGATCACTTGACTAATTTGATCATCCGAGACTCTGTCCTTGTAATAACACCCAGGGCCTTTAATATACTCTCTCATTCTCAGATCGGACACGTCAGCCCTCGGCTATGGAAGCATATTTACCTTGTTGCCCTCGGCCCATCCTTGTTAGCAACAGCTCCCAACTCAGTTGTCACGTGCAAAGATAAAGCTTCAGGCATATTTGTCAAAAAAAAAATTGCTAATTAAAAAGTTGAAGCACTATGGTCCCTTCATTATAAAAAAATGAGAGAAAATGATGTATCATTTCCAAACTTTGAAGTGGCGAAAAGTCTATAAACCTTTACAATGAGGTAGCTTATGATGGTTATTGTTGTTTCTGCTGCCGCATCTACTACTGTTGAGTTTTATTTTAAGCCATTTCTTCACTTTGGCAATACAACAAACACTATTCCAAATATATTTTTGGTTATAAGACGCATGAGAATTATGTTGTTTTGAATACTTAAAGACAAGAGACATACCCAACTCCATTATAATAAAGTCTGCTTAGAAGTGAAAGCAACAAGACAAAAAATTTGGGGAGGAGTGGACCTGACTTCTGACCTTTGGCATTTTCTTCTGTGAAGTGGTCATTCTTAATCCCGCGTTTCTCACTATTGTTAGCCCAAGAATTTACCTTTACATACTGCGTTTTATTTGTAATTTTATTTCTAAATCCTTCCCTTTTTTCCCTAGTATGATCCATTCCATTCTAATCAAATGGTGTATGATTTGGATCCTAACAAAGCCAATTTGATGGTGAGTGGGGGTCTAGTATTTAGAGCTGTCAATAACTTGGGATCATTTGGTTTGCTTGAGTCAAACTTCAAGGTGTTTCTTTGGGTAGAAGGCTGATAAAGATGGAAGTTTATTAGGCTTTCCTCTTGGACTATACTCTACCAAACATATACTTAGAGGCCTCCTAATACCATATTTAGGCAGGTTGAGATGAGCCATGGCAAACGCTAGCTCATCAAAATTTAGAGACGTCCAGCCTGAGTTTGGTACTTCAGGCTTGTTTCTAAGCAGGAGCTAATCTCAAGTCTAAGCTTCCTATCAAAACAAAACGCCTAAGGGCTCATTTGGCATGCAGTATTGAAAATTTGGTTGAGCTGCTTTCACCAAGCCCCTTTGAGGAAGCTATTAAAAGCAGTTTTTGCACTGTACGTATTTGTATTCGTACTCATTCCAAACTAAACCTTAAGACTTGGACCAAGGCAATCAATAATCAGATTGCTCTCCAGGTCTTGGTTTTACCGCTTAACTGGATGGTTTGCCTATCCAATCTGCCAAAACCGTCATTTATTTGAGACCTGAAAAGGCCATCTGTTCCTGATTTTTACGGTCCAACCATCCAGTCCAGGATGAGTCTTAAAACATTGATTAAAAGAAGCTTCACCGTAAAATCTCCCCTTCTATTGAACTACAGAATATTTGGACTATGTGGATGTTTCACTAAACATGGCCTGTTTATTGGAGCCTACATCACAAAGCTAGAAACCGCTTCATGAAAGACTCCCAAATGGATATTTATATGGGATGCATGAAAGACTTCAAGGTGTTTCTTTGGGTAGAAGACCAATAAAGATAGAAGTTTAAGCTATATCCTCTTAGACTATACTCTACCAAATATATACTTAGAGGGGGAGTGGTCAAAAATGAGGCTCGGTATACGTACACACATGTAGGACTTAAATACAAGAGAGGGACATACATACAATGTAAAAGCTTAAGCTATTAGGTTATGGGTTATTCTTGCATATAAGTTTCTTGCAGCACTCATTCATTTTCAATTATATGGGAGTCTCTTCACCTACTCGTACATTGGGAATTCCATAATCCCCCTCAAGTGGAAGCCATTGTCATATTGCCAAACTTAACGCACACCCACCAAGAGCCCTTTGCTCATGACCATAAGAGAGCCAACTATGAGAGCACCATTCCCATGGATAGAAATATCATAGGAGATCAACTACTCTTGCCAACTACTTGATCATGGGAAAAGTCTATAAAGCCATAAGAATCACTATGTGCATCTATCAATATTTACGTCCAATCAAACATTTGACTATGATACCATTGTTATGAATTGATGGAAGTTGTCGAAACCGAGGGCTCGTACATGTACATGCACACAGGACTTGAACACAAGAAGAGAACATTACATGCAATCCAAAAGCTTTAGTCTCTTGCACGTCTCATTCTTTTCCAATATTAGATTCTTTTCAACTATGAATCCCAACACTAATACCATATTTAAAAAAGGTTGAGATGAGCCATGGAAAACTCTAATTGATCAAAATCTAGAGACGTAGAACCTAAGTTTGGCACTTCAGGCTTGCTTTTAAAGAGTTCCTGCGACCCCATGGCAGGATAAACCGAGACCCAATGATTTTTGAACACGCCAGTGTTCGTTGAAAAAGACAAGATATCACGCCAAGCTGGTATCGAATTGAAGCACTGACGTGTTCAAAGCTCACTGGGGTCTCAGGCTTGTCCTGAATCGATGGTCGCACAGAATGTGTTGTCTCGTGAAGAACCTCCCAAATGGATATTGAGCTATATGGGGTTAGGGTCTTAGGCATGCAATTCAACTTGTCCTTAAACCTAATAATATTTAGTTATCATTTTTTTTTCCGCATATATACTCTATATTTCATTTTCAAATATCATGATTATCATCAACATCATCATCCAAGCCTTATCCAACCATGGCATTAGACATGAATCCTCATGTTAAATTATCGCACTTAAATCATTTATTACTAGTTTGGTCTATGTTCTTCATGGATAATATGACTAGTTTTGATTTTCCTTGCCTTACATAGCCAAACCCATGGAAAAATGACAGTTGCATCATGTTGGCTGGCAGTTAAATTTTGCTCATTTCGTGTTTAGAAGCAAGTATAAATAAACTGAAAAATTAAAATTATGGTCAAATTATCGGTTATGATTTGATACAGAATTCTTTGTTTGTTTTAAAGGGCTAAGGATATTTTAGTGTATAGCACTTACTATCTTGTAATATGACTTTTTTTTTTCTAATTAGAAAACTTCATTTTTATTAAACACAATCACTTAGAGAGCCAAATATTTGATGGTAACCTTTTGTTTTCTACAAAATATTTGACAGAGCCTTTAAATGTTGTTTAATTTGAATAATACCCAAACTAAGGTGGTGTTCGGCACCGTGTTCATCCACGGGATGAACACTTGTTCAGCTTGCTGTGGACAGGACTGGTCCATGCTCCTGTCCATACCCCAATTTTTCATTCATGGTAAAAACTCGTGATTAGGGTTCATCCAYAGTCTATTTTTATCTCTTGTTTCACACTCTCGCAAAAAGGCTAAAACCTTATTGTCTGTTTCACATTTTAATATTTTTATCAATAAAATATTAATTATTTTACTTGATTTTTTATTTTTTAATTTTCTAATGTTTTTAATAATAAAATAAAAAATTTAAATATTTAAAATATATTTTTAAAATTTTAAATTATTTTTCTATTGTTTTTATAAAAAATTAATATTTATTGTTTAATATTAATTCAYTAATGTATTTTTCAATATATTTATCATATAAAATGAAAAAAAATAGATATTTATGATGAAATGTGTAGATTATTCATAAAATGTATATGGAATACATTGAATCAAAAAGTGTGGTGTGGATTGGTCCACACCACGCCTATAGAACGCTATTATGGGTGTGGACTAGTCCAATCCAGTCTACACAGATTGTCCACAGTTTAGAACAACTGTGAACTGTGATATGGTGTAAATTGGTTCTTGCCACAGGGTGTGGTATGAACCAATCCACACCCATTAATTTCTCATCCACACTATAAAATACCCTCTAAATTTTATATGTGAGTAAATTACATTTAGACATTGATTGGAGTTAATTTCTAACCAAGTTCTAGTAAGAACATAACAAGGCAAAGTAAAAAAAAAAAAAAAAGAGCCAATTACAAGCAAAAAAAGGACAGATATATGTAAATTGAAGTCAGCCATGTTTTATTCATATCTGTTAGGCATTGAGCCGGTCTAATTTTCGAGTAGAAGCTAAGCTAACTTGTTGTAAAGATCAYGAGTCCTAAATTAGTTTGTCTAAGTGGGACCCATTAATTACACCAAGAAGAAATATGAATTTGTGGTGATGATAGTTAAGTTGGTTCCAAAGGACAACATTGAATCCATATCTTCACATTGAGCTACGGACCGCAAATAGCAGAATGGCATATAAGATGCACCAAGAGTTGAGGATCCAAGAGGAAAACCCTAGGGTTCATCAAAGGGTCAGAAGCTTCTCTTATCTCGCTTTCCATGTACAAAAATATATTCTTCTCTCTTTCTATGATTTCCTTGCTTAATTGGCCAATAAGGGTGACACATTAGGTCATGGGAGGCTACAACCTTAGCTCCTCCTAGTCCTAGACCCACCACAATCCCTTATATACATACAACACACTAAGGTATTAATTTAGTCCAAATCAAAAAGAAGAAAGAGAGAGAGAGATTTGAAAAAGCGACTTTCACACAGAGACAGTTCTTTTGAAGATGAATGAACCTTGAGAGAGAGAGAGATGCTACAGGGTAACAACTAACAAAGGAAGAAAGAGATTCGATCCAAACCAAACTAAAATGCAATGGTTCTGGTTCTCCATGTCTGATCTCCCCCCACAAACTCAAAGCTTCTCTTTGGTTACGTACTCCATGATTCAAAATATCGCGATATGTTGAGGAGAAAAAACGAAACATATGGTAATGTACGGTGTACTCGTGACCCGAAATACAACTGTTCTGACTATTTGAACCCGACAAATCTGCCCCCATACCGAAACGAAACGGATTATTCATTTTAGTAGTGTCAGGAAGGACAATTCCACAACCCTGAACCCGATACGATACGATAAATTGGCGATGGATGGTCATGTGACCTATAGAGAGAGAGAGTGGCAGATAATAACAAAAACCCAAAAACGAAAAAGTCTCGCCTAGAGTGATTAGAGGAAGCCAGCAGTTTCGCTTTTTAGGAGACCAAACACAGAGCACACAAAGAGAAAAATGAGGGATAGATAGAGAAAGCTCAGAGCATGGAAGGAAGAAAGGAAGAAGAGAGAAGATGAGAGAAACTAAGAAGTAAGGAAGAAAGGCTGGTAACAAGAGCAAGAAATAAAAAAAAAAAAGTAATAAAAGAAGATAGGGGTCGTTATTGCATTTTTTTGCTCTCTGATGCTTCTGCTTTCTCTTTCTCTTTCTCTCTCTCTCTCGGTCTCTCTGTAACCGAAGCTCAGTAGGTCTATCTCTCTTTCCATCTCTCTTTAAATACTTTTTAGCAGAAGCGTCAGTGGCAGTAATAGCAGCAGTGGCAGCAACAACAGCAGAAGCAGCGGCAGAAGCTGTAGTAAGAGAAGAAAACCAAAGAAAATAACAAGATCTCACTTATTAGTCTTTCTCTCTCTCTATATCTCTCTCAGAAGAATTTCAGAGTCCCCACTTATGCCCATAAGCGCAGTAGAAAGATTGCTAGATTTTTAAGTTTGGATTTTACCTTTTTTTTTCCCCTTGAATTTTGAGTTTTTGGGTCTTAGATAAATAGATAGATTGGATTTGTTAGCAGAAGCAGCAGTTGTGGCTACTACAAGGAGGTTACCTTCCGATTCTGGAGCTTTTGCAGACTGGGTGGCTTCATCCTCTACCACCGGCCGTGCCGACGATCTTTCCCTTGGTTTCAATGCCGGGGCCGCCGGAGGAGGAAACGGAAGCGCCACTGCAACTGGTGGTGGTGGTGGAACTGGTGCCGGGTGGTCTTCTTCGACTCGGCAGATTAATTATGGGCTCCCGTCAGATATGGGTATGGTGGGTCTTCGTGACGTATTCGTTGTTGCTCCGGCTTCGTCGTTCCACCACAACCAACAGCACGAGCCTATTCTCTCCGACCACCACCACCAAATCAACAATTCGAACGCTGCCACTGCTCTCGGAGTCGGCGTCGGTGTCGGCGTTATTCCTCTTCTTACAGCGTCTTGTCTTGGCCCAGCTAATGTCGGAATCGATGATGGAGATAATATGAACAGTCGTAGTAGAGGTGGTGGAATTCACTTATGGCAGAACCAGCAGCCTCAGAATTATCTGAAGAAACCCATGCTGATCGATCACAACAATTCTGCGAATTTGCTTAGCAGTAGCAACAACGGTGCTTGTGGTGGCACTGGTAGTGGCGGCCTTGGTATGACTTCCACGACTTCAACGGCCGCGACGTGCCAAGATTGTGGAAACCAGGCCAAGAAAGACTGTAACCACCGCCGGTGTAGGACTTGTTGCAAAAGTCGTGGCTTTGATTGTCCTACTCATGTTAAGAGCACTTGGGTTCCCGCCGCTCGTCGACGCGAACGTCATCTCTCCGCTGCCGCGGCTGCCGCTGCTGCTGGCTCGTCTGGGTCTACATCTGCTGTCAAGAAGCCTAGGCTCATCGCCTCTCAAACTACGACTGCGTCTCACACTTCAACATCCAACACCACTCCTCCTAGAAGCTTCGACACTAGTTCTAGCCATCAAGGTCTGAAATTTGACGTTCTCTCTTCGTATATTCTTTATAATTACGTTTCTACATGCTCTGATAGTAATTCAGAATAGATTTTACTTGGGTTTTGTTTGAATTACAGATGCGAGTTTCCGAGAAACATTGCCGGGGCAAATCCGTGCACCGGCGGTCTTCAAGTGTGTCCGCGTGACTGCCGTTGACGACGGAGAAGGCGAGTATGCTTACCAGGCGGTCGTAAAGATTGGTGGTCATGTGTTTAAAGGGTTCCTATACGATCAAGGCGTCGATGGGAGAGATGGGTTCCCGAATATCTCAGACTTGCATTTAGGGGGTGGGAGTGGCGGTGGTGGGACTAGGAACGGAGCTTCATCTTCATCGCCAATTCTCGATCCATCTGATGTTTATGCCGCCTCCGGCGGTGGATTGCTTGGAGGTACGGCTTACGGTAACCCAATAAATTGAGTGAGTTCTCTTCCGGAATGGTGTATCCGGCGGTGGATTTAAGTGCTCTCAACGGTGACCGGCAATGTCGTCGGTTTTCTTATATTCATCTACTGATAATGAATAGGCTTTCAGTAGAGTATTCTTGTAATCTGTGTATCTTTTCTAACTGCTATGTCTCTATTGATCATTTCAGCTTCTTTGTTTGATTTTCATTTTTTTTTTCATCTTTTTATTTCTATTTTCACTTCTTATGTTATAGTTATCTGCAGTCGTCCTTTTACCTAATAAGGTGGAGCAACTATTTTATTCTAACAATGCAAGAAATGCCATTTGAGTAGGGAATTTAACTTCTCAGATCTCTCAACTAAAAAAACTATTTGTTGTACTGAGATGATATTATTACCAGCTGGGATTTGTTACTTGTTTTCTGTTTTCTGATCTGTTGATCATACAGATATATTTGCAGTGTAACCTCCTAATAAAGGGGAGATCCACAGTTGTAATCAAACCATTTCCCCTAGCTTAAGAGATTGCCTCATTTATGGGTCAGACTTCATTGATGAACCCTGGTTTTTTGATTTAAGCTTGTTTTGTAGTCATCTCAAGAAGTTAATGTGGATAATGCAGCTTTAGAAACCGGCAAGATAGTTGTTGCAATGTCACTGTCATTTATTATCAAAGCAAAAGGAAGCTTTACAAGGGTGTCCTTTTCTCCTCACCTTGCTGTCTATATCATTCATTTCTTCAATGCAGGCAGCATTGTAATTACATGCATGAAAGGGTGTAGGTAAATTAAATCAGTCCTTGCTTTAGGTGTTGCACATGTGTTTGGTTGGCTTTGCTTCTTAGGGTTTCCTAATACACATGTTCTCTCAGTACAGACTGATGTACTGATGAGTTTGTGGAATTGGGAAGTAATAGAAGTCTAAGAAGTAAAAAGTTAGCAGCTGGACGGTCATGGGAAGTATATGCATTTAATTTTGTTGGCTGTTGCTGTTCACATTGTGGTGGATTTTGGTCTCCCAAAGCCAAACTGTGCCYAACTGATTTAATTGCTGTCAGGATGCCTTTCTGTCTGTAATAGTTTTTAATGCCTTGGAACAATGCAGAAAATGTGTGTTTTTAAGTTTATTTGTACATTGTTGAGTGTTGACTAATGTGAATAAAATAAAATGACACCAACTTCTGCTATATGGTGCTTCTTTGACTTTCAGTTTCTTCAATTGCATCCTTCTTTCAACTTTCTAGTTTCTAGTACTTGTGTAATGGGCATACCTAATGGTTGCAATTGCCTTAAATGTATAATCCCTACTTGGTAAAAATGTATGAGTTATAAATGTGATGCCAACCATGGCTTCGTATATTAAAAGATTGTCCGGTTAAATGGACCGAAGCTTTTGTATTTATGATGGATGTTTATTCTATATATATATAGAGTTTGGATCATCTAAAAACAATGAATTTTACTTAATTGTGTGTAACTGGTATTTACATAATTGCATTGACATGCTTTTCTGTGCATCTGTTAATTTAATGTGGTTGAATTCTCAGTGAAATTCATGGTCTTTGGGAAAGGAATTTAGATTCTAGGACCATTTGCTGTCATTCTGCTCATGGATGGTAGAAGAGGGCATTGTGCACATAAATAATTGATTTGTTCAAACATACACATTTTGTGTTTGTATGTTGTGTGATCAATTCATTGATAACTTTTCAACTTTTCTAATAGAGCCTCTCAGGTGGATAGTTTTGCATGTGGCCGGGCGAGCTGTATTCAGGTCACTTCAAATTCTCATCAGAGAAAGATACTGGGACTAGGATTTCTAACCCTATTTTTCTTCTTCAAAGTCCTTAATAGATATGCTACTTATTTAAAAGAAAAGCTGATATGTTTTTCTGGGTCTTCTTGCTTGCTGTTTGCTTCTAAAACAATCATCTGGCAGCTTTATAGTAGTGTTAGATACGTGTTTTATCATTTGACCTTGTACGAAATAGAGAAACTTCTGAAGTTGTAACGTTTGTTCTACTTATCCTTGCATTATTCTTTCCCAACATATGGTACTGTGTCTTATAGGCATGATATATCTTTATTACATGTATTACATGAATGCCATTCTATGTGTATTGTGGTGTGCTATGGGCTGATGGGTGTATGGGATGCAGGTTTGAATGTATTTGTATGAAATTTTGTGTGTTAATTCCTCGTCAAAGTTAAACATTATTTCCCTTTTCCTGTATGCAAGCTTGCTTCATCAATGGATGGATGGAGTCCCAAAAAAGACTTTTTGATGGTTCAATAGAAATGTGGTTAGCAGAGAGACTTACTGTCATCGTTTATTTTTTATCTTTAAAAAGCCATACCATCATTTTGGTCTGTTTTGCATTTCATATTGTGTATAGAGATGTTTTATAGTTCATTGAGATGTAATCATGTTGCCGAACACCCCCCTTGGTTGTCTAAACTCTGAAGGGATGTAAATGTGATTCATCTGAATTCATACTAGCCTATCATAGGGGACCAGTGTCTGACTTTGGTATACTTGTTACTTTGTTTTGCACTTCTGATCCCTCGGTTGGAACAATTAATGCAAGTTAAATCTTCTTCACATTTTAATGTGCTAGCTGTTGTCATGGCTACGTGACAGTGATAGGGTGTTCTATTATTGAATTCTATACAAATCGATAGTTATATTTCCATTTATGCTTTGTAGAAGTATGGAAGCAATATCACTTGTGACACTTCTAATATTTCATAACTAAGGGTTATTATACTATATGAGAATTTCACCTTGTCAATTGTGGCAGATGAWTTTTCAGGTGCATCATTGATGAGAGAAAAAAGAAAAAAACTATGCTATAGAAACCTTGATATGGATGTATTTTTCTGTGATGTATTTTTTGGTAAAAGTTCTGCGATTAATTGTGTATTTTGTCTTGATGATGATAGCTTGTACCCATTATCTATAGCAGGATAAAATTACCCGCCTAATCCTTCACTTGGTGGCCATTTGATAACGAATGAAGTGGCTGAACTTGATCACTACACTTAATGATAATAGTCATATAACAACGTACTTGGGGGTATATTTATCAACCCAACCTGCCATTTGCCCATTAATGAGTCTACAGAACCTATTTGATGAGTTTTTCACCAAGGGACAAAGCAATAATCCATTCATTCCATTCATCCATTCTTCAAATTAAGCAGATGAATCTTATTTATTGATTTTGAGCCATGCACAGCAGCTTGAAAATAGTGAGGGGGCATGGGGATCCAAAACGATTCATTCGCAGTTTCAACTTTGTATGTGCAGGAACTCTGTGCAGAAGTCCTTCGATTGATAATTAGTATTGGTGGAATCATAGATTGTATTTTTGCGTAGTGTCGAAGACAGTTTGGAATCGTAGAGGCATATTTGTTTGTGTTGGATGCGATGTTGGTTATTGCATTCAAGCAATGTTACGTTGCTCAATGTCTCGGAGAATGTTACGTTCTCATGAGTGAATTGTGGGGTCAAGCTTTTGCTTTGAAGGAGCTTTTGTTCCTTCAAAAACTAGAGTCTTCCCACATGATGCTGTAAATTTCTCTTCCCCATATCGTTTCTTCCCGTTTCGTTTTCGTCATCTAAGTTGAATGGGTTCGAGTCTCTATTCTATCAACTATCGGAATTTGTGTTTCAACGTTCTACACCAAGCCAAAGGGAAACTAAAGCTGTGAACTTTGGTTGGCAATGGAAAGCTAGTAGTATTTTGTCGTTCCATGATTTTAATGCTCAAGCTTTTGGGCTGTTGATGAAATTTTCTGATCAACTGCTGATTCATGGGTTTCATCCTGCATGGTTATTTGAACTTTTGTTCACAGATTTGTGCATGGTTAGGTACTTGGGTCCAAGGCTTTCTGCCAACACAGCTGGTGGATTCATTCCACAATCCATGTATCGTGGAAGAATCAATTAATTGTCGTTTGTCACTGTTGTATTTTACTTGGCGCTTTATTTCTTTGTTTCCTCCCGTCCATATGTGGTGGTGGTGGTGGTGCATGATTATTGATGCCCTCTCACTTCAGTACATGAAGGATGAAGGATGAAGGGTGAAGCCTCTTCTCAGTCGTTCTCATTGCGAGTTTACGATGCATGTTTCCGTTCAATGACCGAAATGCCCTTTTTACTGCATCCAGACATTCAGTAGAATCCAATCCCCATAAARGCTATTCCTTTACGCCTCGTGTAGTAGTACTTGATCAATATGCATCGAACGCTTGTCAGACGGCCGGAATTTATCTCGGAATGGCATTTTACTGATGTACATGGAAATGGGATCTAGGACTAGGACTGGCTTCTGGGGACTGGGGGTGTCAGCTCATTTCGTGCCTAGTTGAATGGGGGCCACTCTGGGGGGATGCATGGGTCCCACCCTAAGAGGAGATCCCTTCAGCATGGACCCACCCATCCAAAAAGGAAGAAATCACTCAGTCGATCAGATATGGTTTTGTTTAGTCTTAGCTAGGCATAATCTTTGGAGTTTGGAGGGGGAGACGGTCATCACTCATCGGTAAATCTTGGGTACAGGCCTGAATCTTCATACCCTTAAATACTTGTGGGGAATTGCTGAAAGGTCTAATCTAAGAGACTATGAGACGTCAGCCAACGACCACATGGCTCGAGTCCGCGACCTGTATCTCAGTTGGGCCAGACCAAGTTGGCTACTGCCACTACGGAGAGGTCCAGACTCCAGACTCCAGAGGGTGGACCCCTAGTTTGCTTGGTCCGAATTTACGGCTCTGCCTCTGCTCAAACTTTAGTACGGGGCCATGGCCTGATGGCCATGTTGGTTGTTGGTTGTTGGATGTTGGTGATGCCGCCTCATTTTCGATCTGTTCCCTTTTCAGTCTAATCTACTGAAAGTCCAGAACTATGAAAGCAGAAATGCTTAAAAGTAGTCTGATCATATGATCTGGCTACTGATCTCCAAACTGGTTATATCTGCTTCAATCCTCAAGGTGGGACCCTTACCTGCTCAGTTTTAAGATCTGGTTAGATTTGGTTGGACTCATTGTGGGATGTATATGGAGTATGGATTGAGGTTGGGAAAAGTAGAAGCTTGTCTTGGGTTGACTATCTTTTTTGTAATGGTAAATGCCAAGTCATTGCCACTGGTTTATTAGGGTAAGATTGGTTGGCCAAGGCAAGCTCACTTATTATGGAATCATGCAAGGTTCAAAATTTCTTTACGTATGGCCCATCTTTGAGGTTCCGGCACGGGGAATAGTGTCAAATCCTTAGTAGTTAGTACCATTTCTTTTGGTCATGCTCAAAGCGTATTGTGCCCGTATTGGTAATGTT